TCCCCTTCCATGATGAGCCAATGACTCCAGTACAGCCCAATGAGCCCCTCTGTGTCCCCAGTGTCCCCCTCCAGTATGGCCCTGTGGTCCCCAGGTGGCCCCAGTGGTGGCCCCAATGTCATCCACGATGGTCCTTCCGGGATGAGCCAATGACTCCAGTACAGCCCAGAGAGCCCCTTTGTGTCCCCAGTGTCCCCCTTCTAGTATGGCCCAGTGGTCCCAATGTGGTCCCACTGGTGTCCCCAGTGTCATCCCCAGTGTTCCTTTCCAGTATGAGCCAATGACTCCAGTACAGCCCAGTCAGCCCCCTTGCGTCCCCAGTACCCCCTCCAGTATAGCCCTGTGGTCCCACTGGTGTCCCGAGTGTCCCCTTCCATGATGAGCCGATGATCCCAGTACGGCCTAATGAGCCCCCCTATGTCCACAATGTCCCCCTCCAGTATGGCCTTTTGGCCCCACTGGTGTCCCCAGTGTCCCCTTCCATGATGAGCCAATGACTCCACTATGGCCCAATGAGCCCCTCTATGTCCCCGATGTCCCTCTCCAGTATAGCCCTGTGGTCCCCAGTGTGGTCCCACTGGTGTCCCTAATGTCCCCTTCCAGTATGAGCCAATGACTCCTAGTACGGCCCAGTGAGCCCCCTATGTCCCCAATGTCCCCTTGCAGTATTTGCCATGCAGCAGCAGGACAGACGTGTGTGCACACTCGTGTAGTGCGTTTTTGCTCCCACAGCAGCAGGACCCATGCGTGTTGACACGCGTGGCTGTGTGTGCTCAGCCATGCAGCAGCAGGACACACATGTGCACACACATGTAGCGTGCGTTTGCTCCTGCACTAGCAGGACACACACGTGTTCACACATGTGGCGGTGCATGCTTGGCCATGCAGCACCAGGACACACGTGTGTGCACACGCCTGTAACGCGTGTTTGCGCCTGCACTAGCAGGACATATGTGTGTTCACACGTGTGGCTGTGCATGCTTGGCCATGCAGCAACAGGACACGTGTGGGTGCACACATGTAGCGTGTATTTGCTCCTGAAGTAGGACACACGTGTGCTCAGACATGCAGCAGCAGGACGCACGGATGTGCACACGCGTGTAGTGCATGTTTCCTGCACTAGCAGGACACACGCGTGTGCACGTGCATGTAGCGCATGTTTGCTCCTGCACTAGCAGGACACACGCATGTTCCCACGTGTGGCTGTGCATGCTTGGCCATGCAGCAGCAGGCCACACGCGTGTGCACACACATGTAGCACGTGTTTGCTCCCACAGCAGCAGGCCACACGCGTGTGCACACACGTGCCCGTGCACGTCCCACGTGCAGGCTGCCCATGCACCGTTTGCACTCGCGCGCTCGTGGCCCACGGGCGCCTGCAGCGACTT